CAGTCACCACCAATCGACAGCCACACTCAATCGCCAGTTTTCCCTCGCACCCACCGCTCGCTCTCTCAACCTACACCCATCGCGCTCTCTCTCTCTCTCTCTAGTGTGCTAGTAGCGAGTGATCACCATGAAAAGTTCCTCTATTTGCCTTTCCTCACTTCTCCTCATTTTCCCTCGTTTAACTTCCTCCCAAACCTGTCAAAAAAACTGTGGCAAAATCCCAATAAAGTATCCATTTGGCTCTGGCCCTGGATGTGGGGATCCACACTTCCAGTCTTATGTAACCTGCAATGATCAGCAGCGGCTCACATTCACCACACACACTGGTTGCTACACCATAACCTCCATTGATTATAATCACCAAATCATTTACATCACTGATCTATTCATTGATTGTGATCAATAAATTGGTTAATTTGTGATTAATAAACAATATATGATCTATAAAAATACGAGATTGTATCTAAATTTATAACCATAAATCACAATTTGTTAAGTTAAAATAATCCAAGTCTAAGAGCAGAAATTTATCTTTAAATCCATTAATATAGTCAACTTAAACTTAAGAAAATTTAAACCGTTTTGACAACTTTAACTTTTCGATGAAATTTTCATTCTATAAAAACCTGCCGGTCTGGAATAGTTGAGTTTATGGGTAAAGAAGATATATTTACAATACTACTAATAGAGAAACGAAGAAAATAAAAAACTTATGTTTGCACATTAAAGTTTTTCTTTTCTACTTCGAAGTAGTCTCTTTATTAATTGGACCCGTAAAAAGTGTAGTGTTTAAATGAGATGGGACAAAAGATTACGTACCTAATGGTATTTCCCACTTTAATTATTGCTATTCGCGTAAACTTTCTTCATTAAGGTGAAAAGGTACAAAGGGAGAGCAATCAATAACGTTTTACTTATTGTTGAGTCGAGCTCAATATTTCAAATTCAACTTAATAATATCGTTAAAAAAAGAAAAAAAAAAGAACAAAAGTCGCACTTGTCAAGTTTCGATTGCGAACCCTTGGAAAATTGTGGAAAATTTTGTGTATAATAAATTTATCACATTATCTAAATCCATTTAAGGATTCACAAATATAATCCGCCTTCAATATCTTGTTGTCAAGCCTCATTTTTCTTTCCAATTTTTCATTATTTTATTGAATTATTTACTAACTGCAAACATTTATGGAATATCTCTATGGCACGTTTGGAATTTGCTTCTAGAGCCCAATTTCTGATTATCTAATAACTACTATTTTAGGGGTTCGATAAATAAAAAAAAATGATTATGAAAGAATATGTAGCATGTAGTAACGAATTTTGAGAAGCATTGAAAGAGTAACTTCTCAGATTCCCTTGTTTGGTGCACATTTTGAGTCCAAGAATGCATTTTTTTGTTTGATGTGATAGGGAATATGTGGTTGAAAAAGAAGGAAAAATTATTGATGTGATGGAAAATATTATTTTATTGAAAAATGTGTGGTTAAAAACGAGTAAAAGAATGAGAATGAAAAAAATAATGTAGCTCAAACAACTTCTCCAATTATTCATTATTAAAATACCAATTTTAACTCACATCAATAAAATTAATTTTTTATATCCTCAATTTGTTACTATTGCATGTATTGGTTTTCTAATTGTATTAATTTTGAGATTTAATTGATATAATTTGTTTTCCTTTTAGAAGAATTATAGTGAATATATTATCTTAGATAAGTATTTAATAATAAAACATATATAAACACATTTGATAAAATTGACGGAATGTATAGTTAAAAAGTCGTGGATCCCATGACATGTATAATTAAAATTAATTGTTGACTTTTACTTCAATTTTAATGTAACTTTTTAACCAAAGAGAAGCTTAATGTTATATAGAAACAACAATTCAAGACTTCTGTTTACTAAGCCTCTATTTGGTTCAGCTAAAAAAATTGATTAGAATTTAAGCCATAGTTTGATTCTCCATTATTTCCAAAATACATTTTTTTTCGTCTTCTTTTCAATCATACATTCTTCAATAAAATAACATTACACGCTAATTCAAAAAATTTCTTATTTTTTAATCACACATTCTTCATCAATTTACTATTTCAAAATACATTTTTCTACATCTTCTTTTCAATCATGCCAATTCAAATTTTTTCCTTATTTTTTAACCACACATTTTTCTTCAGTCTAATATTCCAAGATACATTTTCAAATGAAAATGGGGCTCAAACAAGCTCAAATCAAAGTTAATAATTAATTTTAACTATATATTTTANTATTTTTTAACCACACATTTTTCTTCAATCTAATATTCCAAGATACATTTTCAAATGAAAATGGGGCTCAAACAAGCTCAAATCAAAGTTAATAATTAATTTTAACTATATATTTTATGCTATGAGACTTACTTCAACTACAAATTTCATTCACTTTTATCAAAATCGACTTAAAAACTTATTTTTATCTGAACCGAGCAGGGGCTAAACGTTGCAATGTTGATTTTCAAACATAAAATAATTCTGAACAAAAGTTTTCAATATATTCTTTTCTTTGTGCTAGAGCTGATTCGCAATACACCAAATTAAGCCTAAGAGATCCAATTATGAAAGATCTTGTCCGTTTGATTGTAATTGTGGAAAATGGGTGAAAAGAAAATAAATTTTAGGGAAAGTAATTGTTTAGAAATTGTTTTACAAGGAATTGTTAATTAAGTATGTTTGATTGGTATAATTTTCCATCCGGAAAATTTTTAAATTTTGTGTTCGTTTGGTCTTCGTTTGCATTAAAATTGTCCATTAAAGTGATGATTTTTTCACAATTGCTTATAAAATTTGTTTTCATTGCGAAAAAGTAAAAAAAAAATTCTGGAAAAAATAAATAAATTTACCATACCGAATATCATTCGTTTGACTTTGTTTTACATGGAAATTATCAATAAAAACGAGAATTTTTTTTACCACTATGTCTGATTTTTTTCCAATTGCTAAAAAAAAAAAAAAAAAAGGAAGGAAAAGCTAGAAAATAAAAAGCCAGCCAAACCAAAGGAAATCATATTCCTCTAAAAGTAGGCGCGTCAGTGGTTTGGGAAGAAAATATTTTCTAGGAAAAATGGAACCCATCAAACACTACAAAAGGCTAGAATTGAAAAAAAATTTCCATTTTTATATCAAATATACCCTTAGTGTGTACTTCTTTCAGTGGTTGTCAAAATTTCATAAGTACTTTTTTCTTTCCTCAAATTTGGTAAGTACCTTTTTTGGATCCAAAGCTTAATTTCTGCTCTTTTTGGGTCTGTCAATCTAAAGCGGCACGTTATATGTTTAACCTTTGTAGGGGTTTTGTCCACGAAATTAACAGCGAACATACTTTTCAACTTACCACACATTGTTTTTATAAAATTTACATTCCCTATGTATTTTTTGTCATTTCATCCATGTTTTACATTCACAATGTATGAACTGAAGATCGTATATCTTTTAGAGCATATACAATAACCTCCTGCAAATTACGAAAGAAACATTTTCATAGTATAATTAAAAATAAGACAAAAAATATCGATTTTTCCTAAGAATCATATAAGAATAACTATGATTCCTCCAAAAACAAGAAAATGCTAAATTCAGACAATTTCAGAATCTGTCAATTCTTTTGTAATTCTCTGACGCCAACCATTGTTGTCATTGTTCTTATAGACCAAACCCTCCATTTTTGTCCATCTTCCAACTACTTTATAATGCTGCAAGCCCCTATACAAATACTTAAAAGCCCCTAGTAAATTAAGCATTTATTAAATTATAAGTTGGGAGAGTGCTTCTTTTGCTAGAGCAGTTTCGTGTTAGTCTCAGATTCATACATGGCTGAAATAACTTTTCCGACTGTTGAGGATTGCGCGTCAATGGGGCGTGCAAAGGAGACAGTTGTCGCAGACATGGATGGAACCTTGCTTATAGGGAGAAGCTCATTTCCTTATTTTGCTTTAGTTGCCTTTGAGGTTGGAGGGATTTTAAGGCTTCTATTCTTGCTTTTAGCTTCACCGTTAGCCGGTTTGCTTTATTATTTCGTGAGCGAATCAGCAGGAATCCAAGTTCTCATCTTTGCAACGTTTGCAGGGATGAGGGTTTCGGATATTGAATCCGTGGCACGTGCTGTTTTGCCTAAGTTTTACTCGAGTGATCTTCATCCCGCGTCATGGCGTGTTTTTTCTTCGTGTGGGAAACGCTGCGTGCTCACTGCGAATCCCAGGATTATGGTGGAAGCATTCTTGAAAGATTTCTTGGGTGCTGATATAGTTTTAGGGACTGAGATTTCAACATACAAAGGGAGGGCCACCGGATTTGTTAAGAAGCCTGGAGTTTTAGTTGGGAAGAATAAAAGCTATGCTCTTAAGAAGGCTTTTGGAAAGACAAAACCAGAGATTGGATTGGGTGATAGACACACTGATTTTCCCTTCATGAATTTGTGCAAGGTATGCTATTTAAACCCTAAAAAAACTTCAATTTTGTTTCTTAACTTGATCTATTTTAGAATTAGCTAGAATGTGTTTGTTAGCCACTCGTCTAAAGGTTTAAGTTCTTACAGAAGGGCTACATGTATTCATTCAAATTTGATCTTCAACATGATCGTTCATGTGCAAACGGAGTTCATTTTTTGGCAAAGATCCAATACTAAAACAATTTTTCATAAATGGGGCAAGACTTTAACTCGAGTACTTTTTTTCTAGCTCTAATGTCATTAAACATAAGTCTAAAAGCTTCAACTATGAAAGAGGTGACGGTTATTTATTTAAATTGTATTTTCAAACCGTGTTTGAGTATTTTACTTAAATTTTCTTTTCAACGCCTTAATTATAGGCAAGACACTTCATAAATGGGATACTTTTCATAGATAAATGACAACGAGAATTGCACTTTGAATTTAATGAGTGATAGGTTATTGATGAGTTTTAATTACATTGACTACACCTTATGAAAAGATTGTCAAAGTGTATAAATGCTTACAAATTGGTCAAACCCTACACATTTATTAAGATCCACAAATTTTACGTGTTTTTTAACCACACGTTAAGACTCGCTGCTTATAATCAATTATAAGCAATAACAAACATGCACTTAAATAAACACATACTTTTTTCCTATATACCTTAGTGAAGGTCCAAGAAGTTAATGTGATAAAATATTGATTGAATCTGAGCTCTCTCCACAAATTATGTTTAACTCTATAGGAAAGAAGTAGCATCTTACATGCTTTGTTCTATTGAGTTCTTGACCTGAATTTGCAATATATAGGAAGTAACCAAAGTTTGAAATTTACAGGAGGGTTACATTGTACCACCCAAACCAGAGGTAAAGGCTGTAACAGTTGACAAGCTTCCTAAGCCCATCATTTTCCATGACGGCCGCCTCGTACAGAAGCCGACGCCGTTGATGGCTCTAATAATCATTCTCTGGATTCCGGTAGGCTTCCTCCTTGCTTGCCTCCGTATTGCTGCCGGGTCGCTACTCCCAATGCGTATGGTATACTACGCTTTCTGGGCACTCGGCGTTCGTGTCACCGTTAAAGGCACCCCTCCGCCGCCTGTTAAGAAATCTAGTGGCAAATCCGGTGTTCTCTTCATTTGCTCCCACAGAACCCTCCTTGACCCAATATTCCTCTCTACCGCCCTTGGTCGCCCCATCCCTGCCGTCACTTACTCCGTCTCCCGTCTTTCTGAGATCATCTCGCCAATTAAGACCGTCAGACTTTCTCGGGACCGTGCCACCGACGCATCCATGATCAAGAAACTGCTAGAGGAAGGTAATGTTGAAAAGACTCTAAATGCATGTTTTGTATAAAGTACTGAATAAAATAGAAGTGGAACAATATAATAAATAAAATATTTTATTATATTTAAAATATCATCCAAAACTATCTAATCTTCGTGCCAAACGTAATATAAAATTTAAAAATAGTTCTTATTTTGTCAAACAAAATCTAAAAAAAATTATTACTAACAAAACTTACTTTTCGACAATTAAAGCTTAGCCCAAATTTGCTCGTATTTATTAAATTATATCAATTTCAAAACCTTGTCGTTGAATTATCTATTTGAAAGCTAAAGTTGTTAGAGGATCGGACAACTTATTTCTTTAAATTATTTATTCAACAGGTGACCTAGCCATATGTCCAGAAGGAACCACCTGTCGGGAACCTTTCCTTCTCCGATTTTCGTCATTGTTCGCTGAACTAACCGATGAACTCGTACCGGTGGCGATGGTGAACCGGATGAGCATGTTTCATGGAACCACAGCTCGAGGTTGGAAAGGGATGGACCCATTTTACTTCTTCATGAACCCTAGTCCAGCATACGAAGTGACATTCTTGAATAAGCTTCCTAAAGAATTGACATGCGGTTTGGGAAAATCTAGTCATGAAGTTGCAAATTACATTCAGAGGGTTATAGCTGCAACTCTTTCCTACGAGTGCACCAACTTCACAAGGAAAGATAAATACAGAGCACTTGCTGGAAATGATGGCACCGTTGTGGAGAAACCTCAGATTAAACCGAACAAAGTAATGGGCTGCTAAGGTAGTATAGTTCATTT